GCTGGTGACAAGATGGTAAGCAAAGCTGTCCCATCTCCACTTTCATGGGGCTTATGTTTCTTGCAGAAGACCTGCAGAAGAAAATCATTAGCCAACCAACATGAAAAGAGGCTAGAAGAATGGATTAATTCTGCAGGACGCCCTGGATTAATGCTGCCTCCCTAGCGATCCCTGCTGTCTCCATCATGCCAGTCCCGCACAATCCAAACCTTTTCCAACATCAATAATCCCTGAGCTGCTGCTGGCCTGACACACCCTATGAGCATCTTTCTGGCACATCTGAGCTGGCTGGAGACTCCCTGGCTCCTGGCTCTGGAAAGGAAATGGAATGTAGTCTGCGAAACTGATGTGAACAGTGTTTGCTTAGAGGGAAAAGGGTCTCCATGTCCAGAATTCCAGGAGGTGGGGGCTGCAGGGAGTGGGGATGCCTGGCATGGGAGCACGCTGAGAGCCAGGAAGGTGAAAAGGGCAGACTAAAGTTTACCAGCTGTTTATTGCTGTTCTCAGGGCTGGGAGTGTCCTGTTTCTTCCAGTAAGCCTTTTCCTCTGCTTTGAGGAGAATCATTTTATTTCATGAAAGGATGCTGTTTCAGAAAAGCAGCTATTCAACACTCAAGGACATGTATGGGTTTTCCTTCTCTGAAAGCCTTTATTTAAAGGGAATATAGAAAACTAGCTCATTTCCTAGAGAACTGATTCATGGAAGAAGTGACTGGTGTGTTTCAATGCCTTCTAGACAAATAGTGGGCAGTTTGGTGAGCTTACCTTATGCAAGAAGGCAGAAGGAAAACCAAGGCATCAAGAGACTTGGCTTTCTTTCTGGTTCTGCCATTCATTGGATACGTGACCCTGGGCAAGACCCCCTCTTTCCTTGGACCTTGCTTTTCTCATCTGTAAGGGCTTTTGTGGACCCAGTGTTCTATGAACATGGCCCCACAATTCTATGTGAGACAGAGATGCTGAGAATCAGCGGGAGGCACAGCTCAAGCACCTGTGCAGAAGTGGAATAATGATGGGGGAAGAGGGAGGCAGGAAAGGAGCAGAATGTGGGTGCTCTATCAGTCCTTGCTCATCACATCAGACTCCACAAGAGAGAGATGACTGGCAGGAGCCACTATAGGTGAGGAACACTCGATGAACTAAACAACCACATGTCCCCTGAGCGTACACACTGTAATGGCACTTGCCAGAATCCATAAAGAAGGCTGAGAATGACTGGTGGTGGGTTTTGCCTGGCATTTAAAAACTGTGCTGGAGTAAGTAAAAATGCCAGAGATTGCTAAACTTTTCACCCCTGAGCAGCACCCATACAACTCAACAATGACCATGATGCCACAGACTGGCCTGCAGCTGAGAGGAGATGAAGAGGGATGGAGTGGGAATGGACCGGAAGGGCTAGAGGAAGTATAGATAGCATGCTCCTGGAAAGCAGCTGTCCTCTGGAAAGAAAGGCCATTGAAGAGAAGTCAGGAGACTTTGTTTCTAATATCGTGTTCTTCCTTTGCAAGTCACAGGTATAAAATGCAGGCAATAACATCACTTATGTTTTTCTTTACCAGAAATTCTTTTCCTCCATGGACTTAATCTCAATCCTCTTAACAGAAAGACAACATTCCCAAGAGTAAAGCCAAACAAATTCGAACTTAGTTCTTGCTGACAGTGTGGTATTTTTTGGAAATACTGTTTCAGTGCTCTCTGCTGGATGATCCAGAAAGTGAGATTGGTAGTGCTCTTTAGTCAGCTGTAACTGGGCACCCATTCGTAAATGTCTCAAGTTCAGGTTTAACTTTATAGCAAACTGTTTTTTTCAGTTTTGAGGTGAATCTCATGGGGATATCTGAAATATTTACATACAAATATTAGAGTTGTTATTGGTATCTGACAATATGTATTACTCAAATACAAGCATTATTTTAAGGTAATTCAGAGGTTACCATATACACTCTGATTTACCTAAACTTCCTACAATTTTTGGTATAGTTAGTGTTTTTTTCCATTTGTTGTTTGGAGGTTTTTCTCTTTGTAGTTTTTTGTTTGGTTGGACTTTTTTTTTTTTCTTCTTCTTCTTCTTGAGATGAGGTCTGACTATGTTGTCCAGACTTCTAGGCTCAAGCAATCCTCCTGCCTCAGCCTTCCACGTACCTGGAAATATAGACATACACCAGCACATTCGGGTCTCTTTGTATTGAAATGGAAAGCAGGGATTACTAACTTGAAGTTCAGAAAGCCTATGCATTTGGATTGGGAAATAAATTACCCACCTTCTAATTAATCATTTCATCCAATCATAACTATTGCCATAAACCCAAAATTATATTAACAATAACTGTAATTTTGTCCCTACCAAGAGAAATCAAACATCCTATATTATACTAGTTGTTGCAGATATGAAATATTGTTTACACTCAAAATGAGACCTTCTGCTAGATCTTGCTTTTAATGTCTTAATAAAGAACCTTACCTATATTCAGATTTTTAAATATTCTATAATCATAAATTAATGTATGTTTCCTTTGTGATTGTATACATTTAAAAACATCTTTCTGAAAAGGGTTATATAGGTTTCACTAGTAAGGTTTATGGTGAGGTATACACACACATACATACACACAACCCCCACTGGTCTAGATGCTAACATTGACATTGGTGCCTGAGTTGCAAGACTGGAATTAGAGGTTTTCCTAAAGATACACCCATGTTTGTTTTAAAACAAGGGGCAAGGGAAGAACTGTGCTTTCAACTGCTTCTGTAGGGTGCTTGAAGCCTAGGGGGTGCTGCCTTTCTGTTCTGGCTGACTGTTACTTATCTCTGTCCCTGCTACAGGCACAGGTCTGTGTTGTAGGCACGTCCATATCACCACCTCCTTGCATAGTGCTGCACAGAGCAGGTTGCAGAGTAAGTGGAAATATAAACTAGACATATACCCAAATTAGCCCACAAATATTCCTGTTGAGTGAGGTGGGTCTGTGTGTGTGTGTGTGTGTGTGTGTGCACAGGGTAGATATAGGGACTATTACTCAGGTGTGGGGTGAACACAGTGGGGCAATCTCCTTTTGTTAAAAGAAATTCAAAACAGACCTCTAAAAGGTTATTTTCTAGGAATCTTGCCAGCAGGGTGAAAGCAAACCCCCCGAAAATGGCCCCACCCAGCCTCACGTGGTCACCTCTTCCTTCCCCCACACAGGGCTGGCTCCCCAGTATATATAAACCTCTAGAGCTCAGGCAGGCCCACATATCCAGATATCTTACAGCACAGCAGAGTTTCCCAGAGGAAGCCTCACCCAGCCTCTGCACTGTGTTCCTTCTGTGCATACTTCCACAGCTGTAGATCCAAGATGACAGCTGTCCAGCTGCTACTTCTGGCCTGCCTGGTGTGGGGAACAGGGGCTAGGACAGCCCAGCTCTGGAAAGCCAATGACAGGAGTGGCCGATGCCAGTACACCTTCATTGTGGCCAGCCCCAATGAATCCAGCTGTCCTGAACAGGGCCAGGCCATGTCAGCCATCCAAGAGCTACAAAGAGACAGTAGTACCCAGCGTATAGACCTGGAGTCCACCAAAGCCAGGCTCAGCTCCCTGGAGAGCCTCATCCACCGCCTGACCTTGGGTCAGGCTACTAGGCCCCAGGAGGGGCTGCAGGTAGAACTGGACATGCTGAGGAGGGAGCGGGACCAGCTGGAGACCCAAACCAGGGAGCTGGAGGTGGCCTATAACAACCTTCTCCGAGACAAAACAGTGCTGGAGGAAGAGAAGAGGCGACTGGGGCAAGAGAATGAAGATCTGGTCGGGAGGCTGGAAAGCAGCAGCCAGGAGGTAGTGAGGCTGAGACAGGACCAGTGTCCCCAGACCCAGGACACCTCCCGGGATGTGCTGCCAGGCTCCAGAGAAGGTAAGAATGCAGGGTAGGGGGACTGCCTAGCCTAGCAGGTGATATGGTTCATGGTGACCTGTTAAAGGTATCCATCTTTCTTCCTGCTTTGTCCTTTCTTTCAAAGCTACACATCTAGCACAAGACAGCTGCATGGAGGAGAGCAAAGCAAGCACTTTTACACACATCTAGTAATTCAACTCCTGAAAGCTTGTTTAGCTTCCCAGTTCTATTACCCGTCTGTGACAAAGTTGTCACCTCTTATGGCAAAATGAGAATCACAAGATCAGGCAAGAACTAGATGGCATGTGAACAGCATGGAAAACCATTCCCTTAAATCTTTGCTCAGAGATTACTAGTCCTACCTTTTGGCGTGGGCAAAAGATTTATAAGACAAAAATGAGTGGAGTTTGTTTTTTTAATATCCTACCTTGGCAAAATAAAGAGGTGAAAACACTTCATTAGTTCTTCAATATGCTCTTTTGGAAGTTTTCCTTTTTCTGTTCAATCTAAGAAGGTTGTCACCAGACAATTTTATGAGGCAACCATTTCTCTATGAGATGCTCTGCTGTTTATCCTGTCCTTGCTTGCTGGAAGATGGATCTGTATGTGCATGTTAGTGGATGGGGACGCTTTTCCATTTGGCTGGAAGACAATATTTGTGTCCCAAGTGTGCACCCAAATATTCATTGTTTAATAAGGGTTTGTTTTTGTTTCATGAGGAAACAAGCAAGAAAATCCAATTGTAGCACAATTAATCTGGACTCTTTAAAGATGTCAATGTCAAGGAAGAAAGAAAAGGGGCTGGGGCTGGGGATGTATCTCAGTGGTAGAGTGCTCGCTTAGATGAAACCCTGGGTATGATTCTCAGCACCAAAAGAAGAAAGAAGAAGAAGAAGAAGGAGAAGAAGAAGAAGAAGAAGAAGTGCTTATTCTAGATTCAATGAGATTAAGAAACATGGTAACCAATCCTTTACTGGCTCCTGCATCAAGGAAGAAAAAGCTACAAGAGAAAGGTTGGGATAATTGAGGAAATTTGAACATACACTGCTTATTGGATTATATTACTGTGTAAATGTTTAGTTTCTTGCGTGGGACAATGGTATAAAGTGATATAGGAGGACAGTTACAGTTATAAAGGAGAATACTCTTGTTCTAAGAAGATGCATGCTCAAGTACACAGGGTTAAGGTAGCAGGATGTTTGTAATTTGCTTTCAAACATTTCAGCAAAGACTCAATACACAGAGAATAAGAGGAAGAAAGGCAAAACTAATGTGACAAAATGTTAACTGGTAGATCTAAGTGACTGGCACAGGGGGAGCAGTATTTTAGCAGTCTTGCATCTTTTCTATAGGTTTAAAATTCTCCAAAATGACATGATAGGAAAATATTTTCTAAAAAGCCTTTCCTCATGAAAGACAATATCTGCATAGGTATGAGGTTATAAAACCTAAGAGTCAATGCCTGAGTGTGACTTGGGGCAAGTTAATTCTGCACCTTCATTTCTTATCCATAACATGGCAAGAAAAATTCCTGCTGGAATAATTTTTGTGGGATTCAAGCCAAATAGCTATAAGATGTAAAGGATTTTTAAAAAATTCTACATTGTTGGGATTAGAAGAGATCCAATTCTGAATATTACAACTAAGGAAAGTGAGTTCCTAAAATGTTAAGGGACCCAAAGTTGCACAGCCAGTCCCTTCAGTGGTAGAGTTAAGACTTGAACTTGAGTCTGTGAGGACAAATGAAGTTTTATTATTACTAGAAGTAGTCTGAAGCATTAAATATTTTAGACTGTTGACTGAATGAGGTTACACTCTCAACAAAAACCCATGTATGTGCTGGGGGTATGGTAGAATACCTGCCCAGCAGTTGCAAGGCCTTGACTTCAAACCTCAGTACATATATATGTATGTATGTGTGTGTGTGTGTGTGTGTGTATACTGTGTGTATGTGTGTGTAGAATTTGTATGCATATAAAAATAGAGTCAATGCTTGTCTTTTTATTGTCTTGTGCTCATTTAGCACATCTTTAGGAACTTATTAGATGTTTTCTCTAATTTTATTTTACTTTTTTTTGTCTTTTCCAGCTGTTCTACTTTTGACATGGGGCAATAGCCCATTGTAATGAGTTCCAAACTTGCAGGAAATTGCATTAGTATAAGGATGTAGAACTGCAAAGAGACCAATAAGCATCCTGTGCCACCACTTTATTTTTTGCAAATGTGGAAACTGAGGCCCAGAGAGGCTACTCAACTGGCCACCTGGCCAGTTGGCAAAAGAGAGTTAGAATTCTGTCCTCTATGCGGAGGGTCAGTGATCTTCAGGACCCTTAGCTAACCTCTAGCTTATAGACCCTAAAGATAAAAGATAGAAAGGTACAGAAATGCTTGTATCTTTCTAATCTCAGAAGATGTGTCTCAAGTTCCTAGATTTGGGGATCAGGGAGATTTCAAGGTGCTGGAACTTATGGGCAAGAGTGGCAAGAACCAAAGTGTGGAATGTGTGGAAGTGAGGGTAGTTGATAAAGAAAAGGCTGAGAAGGCAGGCTTATTACTCCACCCATAGTTCAAATTATCTCCAGCACTTTCTTTATCATGTAATTAATGGGGGGAAAACTCCTTAAAATAATGGAAATCACTTGCTTATACATATATGCATAACTGTGACAAAAAACATTTCACTAGATATACACATATACACACATATAAATGGAGGCCCGAAGTAAGGCAAAAATACAATTACCCTAAAGATAAATTACAGTTGGTTGTTTCTATCACAAGAGAGTTCCCACCTTCTTCTATGTTTAGCCTTAGCTTAGACCCATCTCCCATAAAACAAAGCCTGAGACCAGGGTTTGTGTTTGGATGTTTTATGTGGCTATGAGTCCTGGGAAAAGAAATAGGAGACAAGGGACAATGATTCAGGGAAGGAAAAAATGGGAGGGGGGAAGGGAGAGTTTCTCAAATTGATCGCCACAGTGGGCAACGGAAGCTCAGTCCCACCCAAGATCTTCAGAGCAGCTGGGTAGAATGTGACAGAAGAGGGGAACATGGCTGTCCCATGGGCTATTCCTCATCCATGACGGACTGATGTGGGTGCCAGCCTGGTTCTTGCAAAGCTCCTACATAGAGAAGCTGAGGCAGGGTAGCTGAGACAAAGTCCCTGCAGACGACACTTGTGAAAGGTAGGTTTCTTCAGCAATGACTGGGAAAAAGTGAGCGGGACAGACTCCACGTCCTCACCCCTAGGACAGGGATACTGACATGTCCTGGGTGTCATGCTGATTAGAGATTACAATGGGAAGTGTCCAGTGTAGTGTCTGCAGAGTGGCAACCCAGTAAATAGGTTATAGCTACCAATGACTTCTGCTTGAATATCATCAACATTTTAAAATGTCAGTCAGTGATCAAAATGTCCATGTGTACATAACTTTTCTATCATACACATTGATTTTTAGAGTACATGTGGGAACACTGCCCAAGACAATAGTCTATTGGTTAATCTTCCCTTTCCCCAAGTATTTGTAACAACCTGTAAATAGGTCAGCATGCCTCTTCTTCCTCATTCTCTTCATTTAAATAATATTGACTGAAATTTTTAAGCAGATAGGAAAAAATGTACAAACATCATTGCAATTTCACTTGTATTTGGATGCAAGTGAGTTAATAATGAGTTCAGTTTCTAAGTCAAGTTCTCTAGAATACGAAGTTAGAGCAGAGCAGGCAGAAAGTTCCTAAAATTTTGTAATAGACATGAAGGTGAACTTTTGAACCATAAAAGGACTGAATTTTAATATTAAAAAAGAAGCAAAAGCCTTAAAAAATTTTAACTCTCTGACATAATACAGTCATTAATATTTTCATTATCTCTTCTTGTTTTCTTTGTGTATTCAGAAGGAAATATTTGTGATTTTGAAACATTCCAAAGAATTTGAGTTTTGACATATCTGCATTGAGGACCATTTCACTTATGGTTTCTTATGTCATTCTCAAAATGACCCTGTCCATTTGTGCAGCTCAAACCTCTGGGACTCAGAAAGGTTGAGCCATTTGCCCAAAGTCACACAGCTGGGACATGGAGGGACTGAATTAGGACGTTACAACTTCTGGCTCAGTCCAGGCGCCTTCACACAAATGCTTCCTTGCCTTGGGTCCTTGTGCCAGATGGGTTTACTCTGTGAGTCTGAACATTGCCAGATGCTCCTGGCTGACACCACCTGGAAACCACTAGTAAGCTCCTAACCCAACCATCCCTCCTGCCAAGTGGGAATTTGTATTGCAGTCACTCTGGGATCGGTTCCCTGACCATCATGATTCTTGTTTACTCCAAGGAATACACATGAGGCGTGGTTCCTACAAAGAGCAAGGAAAGAGTGGGGGACACAGCTTGGGTTGAAGGACTCCTTACCCTGAGCCCTGGGGTGGCTGGTAGACTGGAACTGGCCACAGCCAGGCATTCTTGCAGAGGGGGCAGAAGAGCTGATGGGGACGACTGGACTCTAGGGACACAGCTGGGCAACCAGCTGCAGTTTGAGCTCAGCCCCAGGAGGGTGTCACTCAAGTGTGAGCAGCTCTGGGAAGCTTCCAGCAGCAGGCTGGGCCCAATCAGGAGGCAGAAGCCACACAGTGGGTTAAGTTCAGACCTCCTTGGGAAAGGGAGAGTTCAGCCCATCTGAGAGCAGAGAAGGTGGCTGGTCTGCCCTTCCTGAACTACTGCACAGCTGCAGTAAGCCCCTCCAAGTGCAGGTGGGGAGGGCACCCAGCAACAGTGGAAGTCATGAGCACATGGGGCCTTCAGATGTGGCTCCTCTCCTTGTTGAGAAGGCTGTGGGAAGTTTACAGCCAGGGTGAAGTTTCAGAGGGTCCATGTCCTGGAGCTAGATTCCACAGAGTGTCCTCATAGGCACATGAAGGACCAGACCAGGGCAGAAAACTGCAGCCTTCTGCCTCCCACAACATCCCTGCAGCGGCCTCTCCTGAAGTAGTTCAGCAGCATGCTTGCTTTGGACGAGAAATATGTCTTGTTTTTTAGAGACCAGATGTGGAAGAGAACCTTGGGCTCTGAGAACCAATACATTTATAACTGACACAAGTTTCCACCATAGAGTGTCAGGGGTCATAACTGCCATGGCTTCAGAAGACATGGGTTGAAATTCCACCCCCATCACTTACTAGCTGTGTGACCTTGGGCAAGTTACTTAACCTCTCCGAAACTTGCTTTCCTCATTTGCAAATGGGGATAGTAGTAATCACTCTCAGGACTGATATGTGAAAGACAGAAGATGAACACTGGGCAAACACCTGGCCCAGTACTCAGTACCCAGCTCATAGTACACGCTTGATACATGGTAGCAATAATGAAATTTCATTAGGTGCAGACTGCAGTCCCAACTCTCTTCTCTCTCTCTCTCTCTCTCTTTCTCTCTCTCTCTCTCTCTCTCACACACACACACACACACACACACACACACACACACAAAAGCTATTTCTCAGTATTTCAGAATCAGTACTTTACCTATCTTCAGGGAAGTCATCTGTGAAAATGCCTAGCTTTTTCTTTGTTTCTTTCCATTTTCTTTATTCCTTCTGTGGCTAAAGAGGGAATTTCTTTTCTTAATTTTCTTCTTGCTGACTTGTGATGTATACCCTTACTTTTCTTAATATATACTTTTTTCCCCCAGAAAGTCACCAAATTAAACAAACATCCTAATTACATTCACGGAATAAAATAATTTCTCTCAGGTGCACAGAGTGGAGCCAGATGGATGGGACAGAGACTCAGAGAGACCCTCACATGGTGACTTCTTCCATTTTCAAGGGCTCAAGCCCTCCCCCAAATTCCTGTAGGTTCCCTGTACATACTTCTTCCTTCCACAAAACTTCTCAGAAAGGAATCAGACGAAGTATTTCAACTGAGCATGTGAAGGTCAGTGTGTTACTAACAAGTACGTGCACATTTAAAATACTTAGGATTGTGAATGTTCCCAACACAAGGAAATGATAAGTGTTGGAGGTGCTGGATTAGCCAATGACCTTGAACTGATCATCACATCCCACACAAGTATTGAAATGTCATAGTGTACCCCGTAAATATAGGTAGTTTTGTGTCCATTGAAAATAAAAATAAATTAAAAAATAAAAGTTTGATGTTATCTCTTTTAAGATATTTTCATATGAAAGGAAAAAAACACTTAAGTGGCAGTGAATTTTGAATCATTGAAATTCACCCGTCTAAGGAGATGCTCAGGGCCTTCTCACTATCCCTACTTCACGTACTCACAAATCAGTCTTTTTAGTGGTAATTATTTTAATTATGTAAAATCTTATTTTAGTTTGAATTTTCAGCTCTATGTTAGGTACATAGCTATACAACGTATTATTTATGAGCTTTTTTTGGCAGTACTGGGGTTTGAACTCAGGGCTTCATACTTCCTAGGCAGGTGCTCTACCACTTGAACCATTGCCCCAGTTAGTCTGAGCTTTTTAATTATGGAAATTATAAGTCAAAAAGTAGAAAAGAATGAACCCAATGCAGCCATCATCCCCACACTAATATTTACTAACATGGTCAATCCTTATCCAATACCACATGCTCCCACCATTATCTTAAAGCAAATTTCAAACATTTCATTTTTGGAAGTCTATTTGAATGCCTTCCTCCCCAGAATCAATCCTTGGGCCACTTTTCTCAGTACAATTTTGTCTCTTTCTTTTAATACAGTTTCTCCATGGAATTTGGACACACTGGCCTTCCAGGAGCTGAAGTCAGAGTTAACTGAAATTCCTGCTTCCCGAATCTTGAAGGAGAGTCCATCTGGCCATCGCAGGAGTGAAGAGGGAGGGAGTGGTATGAAGTTAGATTTCTTCCCTTTTGAGCCCACACAGTCTATGTGTATGTCTAGTTCTGTGTTCAGAGTAGGAATGGAGTAAATGCCCGTCTGGGGTTGGAGGGGACAGGTAATCTTGGGAGCAGAGGCAGTAGGGAAGGAGAACAGAACTCCCTCTACATCCTTGCCAGGGCAGGTCTGCAGGAAGTCAGCCTTCCATTAGGAAAACCCAGTGTCCCATCATCCACACTTTGGAGGGCTGAGCGTGGAGGGGGAGGCATAGGAGAGATTTACTTAACAACTTGATTGTTGCACTAATTAACTACTCTTGGAAAGTTAACTTTTCCAGTAGCTCATTTATATCTTTGTTTTTGGAGTGGGGCACTAAGGTTTGGACCCAGGATCTTACACTTGCTAGGCAAGAGCTCTACCACTTGAGCCATGCTCTCTCTCTCTCTCTCTCTCTCTCTCTCTCTCTCTCTCTCTCGGTGGGACTGGGGTTTGAACTCAGGGCTTCATTCTTGCAAAGCAGGTACTCTACTGGTAGAGCCACACCTCCAGTTCCCCATGTTTGTTTTTCAGATAGGGTCTCACACTTTTGCCTGGGCCAGGCTGAGATCTTGATTCTCCTACCTTCACCTCCTGAGTAGCTAGGATTACAGGTGTGAACTACCATGCCCAACTCCTTCATAGCTTTGCATTCAGGGCAGGTATATACCACATACCATCTCAGCACAGTCTGTTACTAAAGGTATTTTTGATAAACTTTCCCTATCTAGGGAAAGTGCAATTTGCTTATCTCCAAAATGTTCCCTGAAAGAATGTGGTTTTCAGATACTTTGTCCATTTTTTTTTTTGGCAGTACTGGGGTTTGAACTCAGGGCTTCACACTAGGCAAGCACTCTACCACTTGAGTCACTCCACCAGCACTGTGTTGTGTTGGGTATTTTTGAGATAGGGTCTCAAGAACTATTTGCTAGGGCTGGCTTTGAACCTTGAGCTTTCTGAGTGGCTAGGATTACAGCCATGAGCTACTGGTGCCTGGCTAACTTTGTCTATTTTATTGACATTATTGCTAGCATGGAAGGGCATGCATGTGAATTGGGTATATAAAATACTTAAAGTATGACTCTGTGCAGCAATCAGTGTTCAACTTCTATGAAGAAATATAAGGTGCCCATTAAAACACAGATTTGTTTTGATTTCACTACATCTAAGTTTTCAACCACCTCTTTACCACATTTAAAATTTTTATTGTTTTATTGTATTAAAATGATGCATAAAAGATGTGAACCATCAGTTAGGGTTTGAAAACTTTGTTGTATAGAGACTGTTCTTACAATCAGTTGATTTTTTTCTCTTTTTCTTTCTGCAGTACTAGAGCTTGAACCCAGAGCCTCTCTCTTGCTAGACAAGAGCTCCACCAATTGAGCTAAGCCCCCAGTCCTTTTTTGTTTTTATTTTGTCTTTGAGATAGTGTCTTGCTAACTTTGCCTGGGCTGGCCTCGAACTTGTGATTTTCCTGCCTCCATTTCTCAGCTACAGGTGTGTACCACCATTCTCAGCTGATTTTTCTCTTTTGTAAATGACAAAAGAAATCAGACTTTAAAGTCATAAAGAATAATCTAGCTGGGTCCATGCCTGTAATCCTAGCTACTCAGGAGGCAGAGATCAGGAGGATCGAGGTTCAAAGCCAGTCTGGGCAAATAGTTGGCAAGAACCAATCTCGAAAAATACCCAACACAGCACAGGGCTAGTGGCATGGCTCAAGTGGTAGGTCACCTGCCTAGCAAGTGTGAGACCGTAAGTTCAAACCCCAGTACTGCCAAAAAACAAAAATTAAAAAACGAATAATCTAATGAACACCTGAGTCCCTGCCATGTTCAAGTAGAATGTTATAAATATAGCTGAAGCCTTCATCTCGACAACTCTTTTTGTTGGTGAGGGGGTGTCTGGGGTTGAACTCAGGGCTTCACACTTGCAAAGCAGCTGATCTAACACTTGAACCACACCTCCAGTCCATTTTGCTCTGGTTGTTTTGGAGATGGGTCTCATGAACTATTTGACCGGCCTGGCCTCAGACTTCAATCTCAGCCTCCCAAGTAGGTAAGATTACAGGTGTGAGCCACCAGCACCTGGCAATCTTTACAACTCTTACTGAGTAGTTCAATTCATATCATAGACCAACCACTTACAAATTTCTGTACATTTCCTCTATGTCAAGCACTTTACATGTAAATTTATCCATAAAATTAGACAATAGTCCTACTGTCAAACACTTTATTATCCTCCTACAAATGAGAAAACTGAGGCTTAGAGAGTTAAATACCTTATTGAAAGTCACACTGGGCTAGGAAAGTGCCTAGCAAGCACAAGGTCCTGAGTTTGAACCCCAGTAGCACCAAAACAAAAAAGGAAGTCACACAGTCAGTGGGCAGCAGGGCCTGGGTGTCACTCTAGACAGCCTGTCTCTGGACCCTTAACTCCTGCCTCCTGTGCTCTGTTTCCATTTTACCACTGTCTGTATTTGGAAAAATTATGGACACATAGTGTTTTTGATTCATCAGGATGTGGAGCGCTGGTTTGGGTAGGTGAGCCTGTCACTCTGAGGACGGCTGAAACAATCACTGGCAAGTATGGCGTGTGGATGAGAGACCCCAAACCCACCAAGCCTTACACCCAGGAGACCACATGGAGAATTGACACAGTCGGCACAGACATCCGCCAGGTGTTTGAGTACAACCTTGTGAGCCAGTTCGAGCAGGGCTACCCTTCAAAAGTTCATGTGCTTCCCCGGCCACTGGAAAGCACAGGGGCTGTGGTGTATGCAGGGAGCCTCTATTACCAGGGGGCTGAGTCCAGAACCTTGGTCAGGTATGAGCTGAACACAGAGATGCTGAAGGCTGAGAAGGAAATCTCTGGAGCTGGCTACCATGGACAGTTCCCATATTCTTGGGGTGGTTACACAGATATTGACTTGGCTGTGGATGAGACTGGCCTCTGGGTCATCTACAGCACTGAGGAGGTCAAAGGAGCCATCATCCTCTCTAAAATCAACCCAGAGAGTCTGGAACTTGAACACACCTGGGAGACTAACATTCGCAAGCAGTCGGTTGCCAATGCCTTTGTCATTTGTAGCACCTTGTACACTGTCAGCAGCTACTCTTCAGCCAATGCAACCATCAATTTTGCATATGACACGGGCACAGGGAGCAGCAAGACCCTGACCATCCCATTCAAGAACCGTTACAAGTACAGCAGCATGATTGACTATAACCCCCTGGAGAGGAAGCTCTTTGCTTGGGACAACTTCAACATGGTCACCTATGACATCAAACTCTCCAAGATGTGAGAAGCCCTAGAGCCCTAGCAAAGGCAGGAGGAGATGGAGATCGGGGGTCCTGAGAGGAGCAGGCTGAGGGAGAGCCAACCAGACCTACACAGTTTCTCTCCGACTTCCAAGCTTTTGTCAATCCAGGACGGTGTGCATAATCACCATCTGACTATGCAGGGATAGCAATCTGAGGGCTTGGACAATTTCATATGATAATAGATATTCTCTTCTTTTATTGGCTTTTAATGGGATGCTTATCCAAAATAGTTCTAGTTTTCTGGCACTATGGGGCAAAAGCTGTACAGATGGTAGTTTCTTCATAAAACCACTGCATGTTCAGGTAGTGTGGTTATCGTAAGTCATAATGAGAAATAGCACTTCTAAAAGAAGAAAAATAGCTCCTGTTGCCAGAACTGGATATATGTAAGTTGCATTTAGTATAATTGGTTTCTGATGCTTCGGACAGAATTTAGTTGGGTATTATATCGTCCTTTGCCCTATGAAATAAAATTATCTTACACAACATTCTTTTCCTTGAGCTTTGTGGTAATCTTTGGTTAGAAGAAGAGCACAGACTCCAACCATCAGATAATTCCTGGGAGTTTTTAGTGGTACTGGGATTTGAACTCTGCCAGCCCCTCAGATAATTCTGTTGGGCCGACAGATACAATTTGCAAAATGCGAAAGGTGGTATGTGTGTCTGTGTGTGTCTGTGTGTCTTGTGTCTGGTTTTGAGACTGCCCAGGATGATACCAGGCTAACTGGAATCCACACCTACTCACCTCCATCGCTTGGTTTTTTTGGCTCTTCCCCTACAATGTTTGCATCTTTCCCTCGAATCACCCTCTCTTCCCCCATCTCCCCTGCAGGTCGTATGTGTTGTAATGAGTATCAGTTTCATAAGCCACAAGCTCAGGTGAGCAAACCTTATAGCATGATGTGTTCTCCAATTTTAACGTTGTGGTAAAATGTACATAACAAAATTTACCATCTTGACCATTTTTAAGCACACAGTTCTGTGGCATTAAATGAGTTTTGTGCAATCATCCCTGCAATCTATTTGCAGAACTTTTTTCATCTTGTAAGACAAAAACTCTACACCCATTAAATATTAACTTCCCCTTTGCTCAGTCCCTATAACATTGCTTTTTAATAACTCAATGGAATTCCTTCTCTCTTGTATCTAGTGGTACAATGTTTTTTGCCGATTCAGCTTGGGCTCCATCCCATCAGAGTGCTGTCAGTCAATTCAGGCTTTTGGTCTTGCCCACCCTCCTTGAGATGGCCAGGAGGATGAGGGTACTCTGGCACCCAGGGGAAAGAACCTGGGCAAAGTTTCTTATATCTGGTTTTGCCATCAGTACAAATTCTGGGTATGATGCTTTTTTCCCAACCTGTTTGTGTCCCCTCAAGGACATGGGGACATTTCCAGAGTGGCCCTGCCACCTTAAGAACACAGATTCCCCTTTGCTCTTCTGCTGCTGCCCCCTGCTAATGATAAGCCACTTCTCCTGAAGGCTTGGTACCTACCCAAAAAGCTTTACCTGGAAACAAGTCCCCATCCCCTCTGCTTTCATATGCCCAAATAATCTGGCAATGGGACAGTCCAGCCCTTTATCTGTTACCCTCTCTACTGTTCATGGGATCAAGGTGCAGACCTTTGATTTTAAAGAGAACCAGCTCTTAAAAGTCACAACTTGGGGCTAGGAATGGAGTCACACACTTGTAATCCCAACACTCAGGAGGCTAAGGACAGAGGATTATGAGTTTGGGGGTGGCTGAGGCTACATAGGGTGTTCGAGGCCATCCTGAGCTACATAGTGAGACCCTGATTCAAAAAACAAAAAGATCACAACCTTGGCTTAAAATTCTCTCTACCATGAGTTCTAAAGACTATTCTTTGGAAACCAAAGCCAAGAATTTGCCTTTTCTTTTCCACTAGCAACCAATCCTGAGATTACACATTCCATGAGTGAGCAGGAAAAGGATGAGATGGCACCATGTCCCTCCACTGGTGTGCTAGTGTTCTTAGGCTGCCATAACAAATTCCACAGACTGGGTGGCTTAAATAACAGACATTTACTTTTTCACAATTCTATAGGCTGGAAATCGAAGGACAAGATGTCAACAGGGCTGGTTTCTACTGAGGCACCTCTCCTTCGCTTGCAGATGGTATCTTCTCCCTGTGCCTCTCCCTGTGTGTGTCTGTGTCCTAATCTCTTTTTCTTAAGGGCAGCAGTTTTATTAGCTTAAGTCCTACCCTAATGACCTCATTTTAACTTAATTACCTCTTTAAAGGCCATATCACCAAAGGTAGTCACATTCTAAAGCATAGATTAAGTATCCCTTATCTGAAATGTTTGGGACAATAAGTGTTTTGAATTTGGTTTTTCTTTAGATTTTAAAATATTTGTATATACATGTAAAACAGGACATCTTGTGGATGGGACCTAAATTTAAACACAAAATAATTTATATTTCATGTACACTTGTGCACATAGCCTGAAGGTAATCTTATACAATATTTTAGTGGGACTTTGTTTTGGCTGACCTATCTCATGAGGTGAGAATTTTCCATTTGTAGCATCACATCAGCACCCAAAAAGTTTCAGGTTTTGGAACATCTCAGATTTTATATTTTTTAATTTAGGGGTGCTTAACTTGTATTAACACTTGAACATATGAACATACATGAATTCAGTTCAAAATGACTGGGCATTACCACTCTTTCACACAAATAGACTCAAAGACTAGATACCCCAGAAATCAGAATGCATGGACTAAACTACCCAGTGAAGCACCTTTAGCTGCCAGGAGTTTGAATGAAAAGAGGTAAGGAGACACCTTTGGATGATGGAAAGCCATCACTGCACACAAATGAGTGAGGCCAGTCCTTTGGCATGCCCTGCCCAGGGCTCCTTTGCTTTCTCTCCATCAGCTATGACTGACTTTGGAACCAAAGAATAGGATGAAGGAAAGAGGAACAGAGGGAAGAAGGACATTTTCTTTGCTCAGCTTCCAGTATGTTAGACTCCCATATCTTTGACTGTGCCTTTGGTTTTATTTGTTTTACTGGTTCTTCCTTTTAAGATTGAGGTACTCTAGGGATTTGTTTAAGGTGTTTGTTACCTGCTCATTCCTCTAGTGATATCATCTAGTATCACTGCATTAAATACCATTTCCATGCTAATGACCACCCAAATTTATATCTGAAATACCTTCATTACTCCTGAACTCCAGATTCATATATAGTAGATCCTTGGTATCCAAAGAGACTACCATTGAAGAAAAGCTGAGAAGGCTCAGGATGCATAGAGTTCAATGCTGTACAGTGGATAATTGATTCATTTTTTCCTATAACACTGCCCAGACTTCAGCTAAAGAGGATGAAGTGTTTCAACAAATCTAAATTTTTACCTTTATCAGTTCAATTAAGCACTTTTTACTTGCTTTTTAGGGCAGCATATTTTCACAAAATTAAGGGCAGGGAAGCCCACAGCAGATGATACATGATTAAATACAACTGATGATAACCAGGACTGACTGAGAGCTTCTGCACATCAACTGAACTGTGTTAATGCATGTATGGGAAATTAAAACTTTTGTTTTTGAAACTTCTTTTTATTGTTTTTTATCCATGCTTGGTCAAAACCATGTGTAATGAATCTGTAAACAAGATGAGCTTATTGTATTCATTTGCATACTTGACATCTCCATTTAGATGCCTTTTAGGCATATTATCAAACTAGCAAAAAACTGAACATTTGAGTTTCCCTATCCTACCCCCCTCCATACACATCGAGTTTGCTTTTCTTGTAGCTAATGGAACGCCACCCCTCCAATTGCTCAAGCCAAAAATCTCAGAGTCCTTCTTTTATCCCCCTCTCTCATATCTTGTTTTGTTTTGTTTTTGGCAGTACTGGGGTTTGAACTCAGGGCCTCATGCTTACCAGGCAGGCATTCTACCACTTGAGCCACTCCACCCACACTTCCTTGTGTTGGGCATTTTGAAGATAGGATCTTGTGAACTATTTTCATGGGCTGGCTACAATCTGCTATTCTCCTGATCTCTCCTGATCTCCTGGGTAGTTAGGATTACAGGCATGAGTCACCAGCATCTGGTGTCTCATATCTTATATTTAATCCATCAGCACCTTCTTTGGCTGTGTCTTCACATAGACCCAGAATCTGACCACATTTCTTATCATCCCAACTGCTACTTATCCAAATAGCTATCTTGTTCCTGGATTACCACAATCGTACTCGAACTGATCCAATCCCCTCACGTATATTGCCTGTTTTCCATATGGCAGCCAGAATAATTCCATCAAAATGCAATGTAGATTATGCCCCTCTTTGTCTGAAAACCCTTATGAATTTTGATCTCATTCAAAGTCCAAGAGTCCTCACAAATCCCCATAGGATCTACCTCCTTCTTTCCCAAACCATTGTTACTTTATCTTCTACTAATGTTCCAACTTACTCTACTCCACCCAAGTCAAACTGACCATCTGGCTCTCCCAAGAATACACCAGGCATGATATTGCCTTCAGAGTTTTTGCACTGGCTAGTCCCTCAGTCCTCCCCACCCCACCCCATATCCATACACCAAATTCCATCACTGACTTCAGGTCTTTGCTCTAGTCACCTTCCTAAAGAGGCCCACCAGGCCACCCTATATAAAATTGCAGACAACTGCTACTTCCTGGGACACATCTAATCTCCCATACCCTGTTTTATTATTTCAATTTTTTTTCCCATTTTATTCATCTCTTCCCAATATATAATTCATATTTTACATTATATATATATTTTTTTCTTCTCTCACTGGAATGTAGACCAGTGAAGGCAGGGATTGATTGATCCATATGACAATGTATCCCATGAATATATGTCTGGTGCACATAGCTAGGTACTCAATGATATTTGTTGGATAAATGAATAGAAAGAACAGACTGGAACTTGCTTAGAAACCAAACTAGAGATAAAATTAACACAAGAGTTAGTGCTTCCAACTCTCTCCTCTCCTTGATTCTGTTTTTAACTGGCTGTGTGACCTTGGATTTGACACATATTTTAAGTTCTTGCCACTTATAACTCTGTAACAATGGTCATGTTCTATCTGCAATATTTAATGCAGTGGCCACTAGCCAGTCACATGTGGCTATTGGGCCCTTGAGGTGTGGCTAGTGCAATTGAGAAACTGAATTTTTACCTTATTTTCATAAATTTAAATTTAAGTGACTACACATGCCTGGTGGGTATTCCACAAGACAGCGCAGGTATGGTACTTCATCTGATTGAGGATGAGGTAGTGTGCGCCAAGCACCCATCTGGTAATGACAGGTGCTTATGCTTGCTCCCCCTCCCTATGTTGCAGCAGAAGTCCACACCGCCAGCCCAGCCTATTGTAGGTAAGAGGACCAGAGTGCTTTTGCAAGGGCAAGTCTGGACAGAGAACACCCACAGGGACTCTGTGAAGAAACAGATGAAATAAAAGAGCAGGCAGGGAGATTTTCCTGTGTATATCTGAATTATCTCGTTTCTGAGTGAGGAACCCTAGAAGTCCTCAGAAGGAGACC